GTGGCCATATGGCACACACACTCCTTGGAAATAGACAAAGAGAAGGAAAGTAAGAAATCACCTCCCAGAGGGATAGCCATGGCACAAACCCTTCTCCATTCTCCTCTTGGGTTTAGGGGAACATATACACACACGCATGAGGTATGATTTTCAAGCCACCATGTCCGAGACCTGAACCATAGTGGGCTATGTGGGAGGTCCAGCAACTTAACCACTATGCCACCTGGTGGTCCCAACATCCCTTCTTTGTGGGGTTCTTTTTTTTTTTTCTTTTGTGAAATTCTACTTCCTGATTCTAAACCTAATGGACTGTTCCTGACCATTCCTCATTCTATTTTCTCCCTTACCTCCCTATACCTTGGTCCCATTAACAATCCAAAAATTCTGTTCTTGGGAACCAGCAGTTAGCGTAATGGCTATGTCGCTGGACTCCCACGTAGTCGACCGCGGTTTGTGTCCCGGACCCGGTGGCTTAAAACTCACGCCGGGCGCGTGTGCGTGTGTGCCCAAGATCCCAAGAGGAGAATGGAGGAGAAGGGATTGCGGCGTGACCATCCCCCCTGGGGGGGTGATTTCTCGCTTTCTGTCTCTATGTCTCTCTCTGTCTGTCTGGCGAGCGCACGCGCCTTACAGTGAAAATCTCTCCAAAAAAAAAAAAAAAACCAAAAATTCTGTTCTTTGCTATCTTCTATCACACAGTGTCTTGGCTTCATTTAATACCCTACCCTATCCCCAAATTTGGCAGTGATCTGTTTCCCAACTACTTTCTGCTATCTTTCGGAAACATTAAGTCTCATTATTTCTCAAATTTAACTCTAAAAGTAGTACTGTCCATTTACCGAGAACTTGTAGGTGCAAGTTCCTGAGCTAAAACACTTCATATAGTTTCATTTAATTCCTACGACAATTCTAAAAGGTAGTTTTATCTATTTTACAGATGAGGAAACTGCAGTTAAAGAAAATTTTAGTACTAATTCATATTCATTTTTTTAATGGTCACAATGTATTTTATTTTTTAAAAATGATTTATTTAACTTTATTTATTTATTATTTATTCTTTAATTTGACCAGAGAGACAGAGAGAGAAAGGAAGAATGAGAAAGCAAGCCAACAGGTTCAGGACTCGAACCACAATCAGCCACTTGGGAGTCCAGCACCTTCACCATGCCACCTGCCAGCCCCTAATTCATTCTTAACCATTAAATTACTTTTCCTTTTTAACTCATTAACTTCCTGACCCATCTATTATCTTCTCTGTCTCTTTTTAACTAGTATCATCACTACAGTATATGTTTATTAATACTTTCCCTGTTACCTTTCACATACCACAGTTGCCAAGTTCAGTCAGTTCTATCTATTCTCTAGTCCTAATGCCATTATGATAGTATAGTAAAAAAGAGATTCTCATGGCAGTAACTACCCTCTTGGCACTGAAAAACATGTGTCTGACATTAATGAAACTGACTTTTCATATAAGTACCTTACAAAATTAGCCTACCCTCACTTCATCTTATAAAAGAAGAAAGTCTTTTTTCTTTGCAGACTTACCTTTGGCTGGATCACCTAGAGTGGTAATAGAACTGCTGCCAACACAAAGTCCACGCTGACATACAAATTTTGCCTTTGAACAAAAGATATTACTTTCTTACCATTATCACTCTGCAGAAAGGCAATGAATTAATGCTATAGTTTATAAACTTTAACATAAATATAGAACCTATTTAATATGTGCACTGCTGTAAGAAAACAAGATTATACTGATATAAAGCAACCACATTTTGATTAAAGGCCCAAAGACTTTTGTGACATTTTACCATTTCTGTTAACAATGTCACAATATAACCGTATTAAGCAAAGCCCTCTCTTGAAGATTTCTTTTCCAATTATAGCTTTAGGACCACTAAATTTGAAAATGTATTATATCCAAATGCCATTTTAGCATATCTTATCTGTATCTAGATGATTATGTTAAAAGGAATAAACTTCAACTATAATCCTTCTAAGTCTTCTTTAAAAAAAAAAAAAAATAGTAGTCTTTTTTCTTTCCCTTAAAAAAAAAAAAAAAAGTTTCTTCTTCTTTTTTTTTTTTTTTTTTTGAGGGGGCTGGCTAACAGTGTCTTCAGGCCATGACCAAATTCTAGCACTAGCTGGCTAGAATCACAGGTGTGCTTAGGAAGGTGCTGGGACTCAAATCCAATCTTTCCCAGGCTGGTCCAGTTGTGTTATTGTTGCATCAACACCTGAATCTAGTATTAATTATGCTTTAAGCAAATCTGCCCTTGTTCTTTATAAACCATTAACCCAATAAAATATTACCTATGAATTATTAAATTTTGATAGAGCTCTAATACTTCTTAAACTGTATCTAGAAAACCATATCTTTGGAGACATACCCTATATTCAGTGGTTTCCTTCTCCCATAATTTAGGTACAGGCAAAAAAGATAGATATTCAATATTCAGAGAAAGGCATGAAATAATCCCCATGAACTAGAATGCTCAAAGTGTTTATCCAATCTCCAAAACTACGTAATTTAAACCTAAAAAACCTTCATGTGAAGCAGAAGAGTATCTACATAAACAATAATTGAATCAGAGGGGGAGGAAAAATCATTCCAAGCAGCTGGCATAATGGCTGTGTCACTGGACTCCCATGTAGTCAACCACAGTTCCAGTCCTGGACCCAGTGGCTCGAACTCACGCTGGGCACGTGTGTGTGAGTGCCCAAGATCCTGAGAGGAGAATGGAGGAGAGGGGACTGCAGCATGGCCATCCCCCTGGGGGGTGATTTCTCGTTTTCTGTCTCTCTGTCTCTGTCTTTCTGGCAAACGCATGTGCCCTATAACAAAAACCTCTCAAAAAAAAAAAAAATCCATTCTATTAAAAAGCATTATTGGGCCAGCTACATTGCAGTGGTTACACAACACTTTATGATGTATAGGAAGGTCCAAATGCTTCCCTGTGCACACTGAGGGTATGCATGTGTGCTTGTAATCCAGGCTGCTAAGATTGAGGATGGATTACAGCATGAAGACCTCGTTGGAGTTGTCCACCTTGCTCTGTCTCTTACCCTATCTCTGTCTCATTCTCTATGACGGTACCTCTTAAGTTAGAAATTAAATAAATAAAAGGCTTGACTGACACTGAAGAAACACGTATTAACCCAAATCTCACTATAAGCTCATGGACCTATTTAAGATAAAATTAGATACTATAAAAAGTTGTAGAAATAAAATCTTCATAATTAGCTTTCATTGTCATTTATACTGCCTCCAAAGTAACAAAAAAATACTCCAAGAAGTGATAATTTTACAAATCTTATAGAACTGAAACATTGACAATTATGACTAATGATACTATTAATGTGGTACATTAATACTACAAAATTAACTTTCTACAACCTAATGCCCTTACCTGATCTTCAGTTTCAAACAGAAGAAACCCGTAAGTTTCTTGCAGTTCTTCCTGAGTATAGTTACTTGCCTTTTTTTGTTCATAAAAAGTTTTGTACTGTATAAAGAGAATAACCAGATGCTATAAAAACACTATTTTATCTTATAAATTAATATTTCAAATGTATCATCTGAATGCTTCCTACTAAAAACTAATGTATTACTTTTCTCAAAAATTCTAGAATATATTAGTTTCTAAGAAACTATTCCAAGGATCTTTCTATTTCATCTGAAAAATTACAGCTAAAAAGTGCTAGACTTGGGGCCGGCAAGTAGCATGGCAGTTAAGACGCTGGACTCCCACACATGGTTGACTGCGATTCGAATCTCAGACCCACTGGCTTGCTTTCTCGCCTTTTTCTCTCTCTCCCTGTCTCTCTCTAGTGAGCACATGTACCTGACACCAAATTAAAAATTATTAAGTAAAATTAAATACGTAATTCTTAAAAAAAAAAAAAAAAGTGCTAGACTTAGGCCAGCAGTTGGCAAGATGGCTAAGACAACTGAATCCCACATGGCAAACTACACAGTTCAAGTCCCAGACCCAGCTGCTTGAAAAAACATACAGGGTGGGCATGCGTGCCTAAAATACCAAAAGGAGAATGGAAGGGAAGTGACTGCAGTGGTGGCCCTGCCCTGCTCCTTGTGGGGAGGGGGTGGGCGAAGGGGAGGGACTCTCACTTTCACTCCCTCTCTCTCCAGAGAGCACATGGGCCCTATGGCAAACTGAAAAAACAAAACCAAAACCCACTAAAAATTAACACACAGATAGTGTGTACCGAGTGCCTCACCTCATTTAAGAAAATGTCATTTTTCACCAAAGTCACTTGACTGTATTGAAAACCATGCTCAGATGCAGGGTCCAAGTAAGAAGTATGGAGAAGTGAAACTGCTCTCTTGAAGAGAGAGTCTGAGCTCAAGGTCACTGTCTCAAAAACTGTAAAACACAAACGAAAATAATGCAACTGTTTAGGACAACCAAAGAATGAAGTAAAGGGGGGGGCACACTGAATATCATTCAATACATCATTGAGTCTCTTCCTGTATAACTAAAGAATTCATAATGTGTTATGGCTACCTTAATCTACTCTGTCTTAAATTTTAAAAGACCTCTCATATGATGAAAATAACCTAAATAAGTTACAATAGAGAATGAATTACTTTTAATACTGAGTTAAATTATGCCCTACAAGCTAGATTCCTTATACTTTTTGGTTTAAAACTATGCACCAACTTGAGACCAGCAGGTGGCGTGGTGGTTAAAGTGCTGGACACTCCCACATGGCTGATCACAGTTTGAGTCCCAGACCTGGTGATTTGTTTTCTCACTTTCCCTCTCTCTGGTCAAATTAAAATAAATGAATGAATGAATAATTAATTATTTTTAAAACAAAACAAAACAAAAACTAAACCAACTCAAATTAGTTATTCAAAAGCAGATGCAATTGTAGTGTCAAGGTGGTGATCACAAATTACTTAGGCCAGTTTCTTATTCTTTAGTATTTTTTAAGCCTATGTCATAGATGGATAAACTAACTCTTCTCATCTTTTCATCAAATCTTTGACTAAGTTCTATTAAGCTCCTTTTAAGAGGCCTACTAACTGAACACAATACTCTATTATTAATATCTCTAGGGTTTTCTTATTAGTCAAAGGAGTCTACTGAGCTATACTTTCTGCAGATTGTTTATACGTTTTCTTCATTTTACAAAATAAAACCGTATTACATTTTTTTGAAATGCTTTGTCAAACCATACCCAAATGTTATCCCAGAGTCTGTGATAGGTCCCTCCAATGAGAAGCATTTTTCCTAACTGATAATTACTGACTGGAACCAGTAACTGTCTTGATTCTTTTGATTTTATAAGTCTTCACTTCGGCAAGAGCTGAGTCTAATGAATGCTTATATTTAATCACTTGAACTGTTCAATCTATTTGTATTCTTTCTATTTTCTTTATTAAACTTGGTGGGGAGTAAGCCAACCTATTATTTTTAATGTAGTGATTTATGTAATACTGTAAGTTTTGATCAGTATAAATTAATACATATATAGCTTCCTACTTTTACCAAACCTCTTGACAATTGCATTAAATTTCAAAAGTTAAAGAGAAATGAGTGGGCCAGCTGCATGGCTGGATGGATAAAGGAGTAGATCCCAAGAGGCTGAATGTACAGTTTGAATCCTAGCCTCAGTGGCTTGAAAAACATGCTAGGTGTGTGTTCACACATGCCCCCAAAATATTGACAGAATGGAGGAAAAGTTTTCACTTTCCCTCAAGCCCTCTCCCTTGCAACCACATGCATCCTTTAGGGAAAAAAATAAAAAATAAAAAATAATTTTATTAAAAGTAACTTACAAATAGTAAGTAAAAAACTAAACTATCAGAAATGAAAACATTTCAATAAACTTAATTTGAACTAAACTTTCCTATTACTTCAATTATCAAGATTTTAAAAAATCCTTTAATAAACTTTCTAGTATAAAAATGAAATTTTAATTAGAAATGAAGGAAAAAAAGGATTTAAATGTTTAAGAATATTCTGAAGTTAGGGTAGTACTGCTCGAAACAGTCATTTTAACTTTTACTTTTGCTCGATTTCACTTTCTCCTTCAGTATTGGTATACCAGTGCTATAAAAGACATGAACATTCTTGGGAGTGGCAGATATAATGATTACGTTGCTGGGGTTGGGTCTGTGGATCTAGTGGCTTAAAACTCATGCTGGGCACATATGCAAGCATGCCCAAGATCCTGAGAGGAAAAATGAGGAGAAGGGACTGCTGAGTAGGTCACCCCCTGGGGGGGCATTTTTGCTTTCTGTCTCTCTGTTTCTGTCTGTCTCTCTGGTGAGTACATATGCTCTATAACATTCTAAATAGATGCAAGTGCAAACCTCAATAATACTAGTTACAATTACAGCATTTTTTCCTTCTAATTTGCCAGAAGATGTGTGTACTTACCAAAGAGACTGTGACAGACACAGACAGAGAGGAAGAGGGATAAAGATCCCTGTCAATGCAGTGTGGTTATGCTGCAATCCCTTCTATTTCTCCATTCTATCTGGGTTCTGGGCACATACATATGCATCTGTCATGTTTTTCAAGTCTCTAGTCAAACGACATAATTGGCTATGTGGGATCCAGCTCCCCTTAACTACCTACCAGGCCAAGGGACTAGTCCACAATTACAGCTTTTTAAGCTACATCATTCAAAGCAAATTGAGAATCCTGTGCATTTTCTCCTCTTTTTTTTTTTTTTTTGAGAATTTTTTGCTATAGGGTGTGTGCACTCAACCAAAAAGACAGAGAAAGACAAAAAGCG